CCTGGTGCCTACAAATAAAAAGGAAAACAATGACTTCACATTTCTAACCCGGAGCTGGTGTTATATTTCAATTTTTTTTTCCAGGAGTTTAAGGAAAAAATACCCAGAAGCTTCTTGGTGTTGGCCTGTGAGGGCTGACCCATGTCAAGACTCATGGACTTCCGTGTCCGTGGACTGATCTGGCCCACTGTGGGGTAGGGGTGGGCTGACAGGTAGCGGTCCGAAACCTGCGGTGAAGTCCAGGGCTGAGTCTCTCTCAGGGTTCTGTGTTAAAAGATTCAAAATTAAATTGTCTTTCAGAGCCCCTGCTGGTCAACAAGGTCACTGCAGCAAATAGAGCCGGGACAAGATTGGAATGGGTCATTGATGGAAGTCTAAACAAACGGAGCTGTGCCCAGACAATGACGAGGGACCTACCTGCAGCTGGGGTCAGTAATGTGACTGGAGTAGGTTTCCATGGGAACCGGGTCCATGGACAGGTCAGAGATGAGAAGTGACTTCCTGTGTTTCAGACTGCAACGACTCCGCACCTCCTCAGACACGGTGAGCAGCGCTTCATGAGAAAACAAGACATCGGTTTGTCGAGTTCTTCCAGCATCATTTTATGCAACGAGGAATTGGTAAAAAAAAAACAAAAAAAAAACATACCAGCCAGATAGGCCACGCTCTGTATGTTGACCTCAAACTTGTCACATTTGAGGTTTTTGCTAATGAGAGCCAGCAACGTGTGAAGGATCCTCACGGTTCGTGCTACTGTGGTCGGTGATGGATGTCTGTAGCCTGGAGACACAGGGGGAGGAGACCAAGAAAGACCCTCAGTAATAATATATACTGGTTTACATTCTGGTCTATGGTTTTTTAGTTTTTAACAATTTTTTGTTTTGGGTTCAGTTCAGCTGTTGTTGTTCTTGGTGAAGATTTTCTCCCTGAGGGAATCAAGTGTCAAAAACACAGTAAACTGTGAATCTTAGAACTTATTGACCATGACCTGCCTTATACACCAATGTTTTCAGAACAACTTTTTACTTAGTACTTTTATGCAGGACCACTCCCACCTCTTTTTACTTCATTCTCACTCAAATAATTTCATTTTCACTCGCACTATTTTGGCTCTTTTGAATTCATAAAACAGAAAAATTTAGATGAAACTTGATTTTCTTCTGCAAAGAATAAACACCTGAAAAGATGTATTGCTCCTGGATGTTTTAATGGTATTCATATGTAAATTAGCATTTGAACAAACACAGTAAACCGAGCGCG